CAATACACATCACTCACACGAAAGCCATCCGAGTGGCCGGCCCTGGGCTCCAGCGGGAGGAGAGCCGGCGGCCACGCGGTTGGGCTACCTGGGCACACCTGCAGCAGGTGAGGCCCGGCTCCGGCCCGAGGGGGCAGGGCGCTCTGGCGCTGCCACCTTCACCTTCAAGCACGTGACTTAACTCCAACGGGGAGCAACTCCTACATCCTATTCAGGCGCTGGTTGGAAATAATGCCGGCAGCGTTCTCAACGCCAACCAGTAGGCAGAGGCGCCAACCAGTAGGCAGAGGCGGGGAGCTCCCTTCTCCACATCCCGGGGGCACAGTGCCCAGCCCTTCTCACCTTTCCGCCAGACTTGGGTGCCTTTCAAGGTGTTCTTAGCTAGATTCTGATAACCTTCCTGAAGCGCTGACATATACTTCAGATTTAATAGCGCTGTGAACTTTTTCCTCCAGCGATAAAGTACTGGGTTAAGGGCAACTAATTCCCTGGCACCAGACCTACCAGAAGGAGGATTTAATGCCCAGGAGATAACCACACTAATAATAAATTGATGTCGCTAATTTAGACAGTAAACAAACATTTACATGATATCCTGAGAGATGTATGTTTATGGTAGGCCTCAATAGAATGCGGAGGTACCCTTCCACTGCAGATATTTTCACAAATCTATATATATTAAAGCCTAAGCGACTGGCCGACTGGCTGACTGGCCGACCCACCCAGTAGCTATGACGCACACTGACCACCTGGGGGCAGACTCTCAATGCAGGAGGGGAAACCACAGGCATGGAAACATGGAACAGAATGATGAATCTCAGAGGGAAGGGGGCGGATGGGAAGAGATTAACCAATGATCTTATATGCATACTAGAGGCCTGGTGCACAGATGCACCAGTTGAGTCCCTCAACCTGGCCTGTGCTCTCTTGCAATCTGGGACCCCTCGGGGGATGTTGGAGAGCTAGTTTCGGCCCGATCCCCGCAGGCCAGGCTGAGGGACCCCACCAGTGCAAGAATCCGTGCACTGGGCCTCTAGTTTAATAATTGTCAGCTTCTTTGAGTGTGTTATTTGTGCCAGGCACTGTTTTGTTTTGTTTTTAAATGGAGTCCCAGGCACTATCTCACTTTAATACTATAAAGCAGGTAAGTACTATTTGTTTGAGTACAACTGACCACATAACATTATATTAGTTTCAAGTGTATAACAATCCTCCTCCTCCTGTAGAATAAAATCATAGTATGCAAATTGTCCCCTCCACCAGGAGTTTGTCTGGGAGTTCGACCAGGGGGCAGGGCTGGCTGGGGGAAGGGAGGGAGGCCCTGGCTGGTGGCAGCAGCAGGCAGCTAGGGGAAGGAAGGGAGTACCTGTCCAGTAGCCTCTAAGGACCCTACCAGTGCACAAATTTCGTGCACAGAGTCTCTAGTACAGTGATGGCGAACCTATGACCCGCGTGTCAGAGGTGACATGCAAACTCATTTTATTGGTTGATTTTTCTTTGTTAAGTGGCATTTAAATATATAAAATAAATATCAAAAATATAAGTCTTTGTTTTACTATGGTTGCAAATATCAAAAAATTTCTATATGTGACACAGCACCAGAGTTAAGTTAGGGTTTTTCAAAATGCTGACACGCCGAGCTCAAAAGGTTTGCCATCACTGCTCTAGTAATTCAATATTTGTATATATTGTGAAATAATCATCATCAAAATAAACATTATGCATAGCTACAAAGGTAAGTACTATTTTATCCTCACTTTTCAGATGAGGGAAGTGAGGCATGGAGCGTCTAAATAACTGCCCATTCACAAAGAATAAAGTGAACTTTTCTTAAAGCCAAAGTCTGGCTTTCATTATGGATGAACACATATTTCTTTATGGATGAATATATGTCCATCTCCTAATGCTATTAAATTGTTGCCATATTTCTAAAAGAAGCAACAGTGCACCTAGTGAACAGTGGTGATGCTTGATGTTTGATCAACACACTTTTTACTTTTCAAGGCACTTTCATAGTAGAGCCTTGCCCTACAGGTCCCTTGGCACTACCACCACAATACATGTAAACATAGAGTGAGAACAATAGGACCCTTTTTGAAATTGGAGTTAATAGAAGGAAAGTAGAAATTTTATAACTTTTCTCTTAGGTATCCATAATTTAAAATTATACTAGAACCTGGTTGTCATGGTTCAGTGGTTGAGCATCCACCTATAAACCACCTATGAGGGATCAAGGTCACAGGGCATAAGCCTAAGTTGCAGGCTCAATCCCCATTGCAGGGCATGCAGGAGGCAGCCAATCAATGGTTCTCTCTCATCATTGATGTTTCTACCTCTCTCCATCTCCCTTCCTCTCTGAAATCTTTTAAAATATATTTTTAAAAATTATACTAGAAATATTATTTTATGTTAAATTGTATCAACTACTATGTTATCTATTTAATTTTAAAATGTATGAAATAGAATGGGATTATTTATTTATAACTAGTGGCCTGGTGCACGAATTCATGCACATTGAAAGGAAATTAATTAGAAGAAATATTTTAATATCACTATTCACCCTTTCTCTATAATAGAAATGTCAACCAAATTCACGATCGACAATGACAGAAGGAAACACATGTGTGCAATTGGCGCCAGTGAGAGTTTTTATGTATTGAGCATGCAGGAGTCAACTTAGCCTTTTATAGATATAGAATAAACTTGCTTAATTACACCTGCTTTCTGATTTAGCTAAACTTTTCCCAGCCTAGAGAAACACCCCAACTTCTCTCTCAGGTAATTGTCAGCAACACAGTAGTAAATATCAATACAAAGCAGATTATAATTGTAGATCATGCAGGGAGAACAAAGGGTAAAATATTTAACTGCAGCAGTGTTTGACTATATTCTATGCCAGTGGTTCTCAACCTTCCTAATGCCGCGACCCTTTAATACAGTTCCTCATGTTGTGGTGACCCTCAACCATAAAATTATTTTCGTTGCTACTTCATAACTGTAATTTTGCTACTGTTATGAATCGTAATGTAAATATCTGATATGCAGGATGTATTTTCATTGTTACAAATTGAACATAATTAAAGCATAGTGATTAATCACAAAAACAATATGTAATTATATATGTGTTTTCCGATGATCTTAGGCAACCCCTGTGAAAGGGTCGTTCGACCCTCAAAGGGTCGCGACCCACAGGTTGACAACCGCTGTTCTATGTAGTGAGAAAACCTGAAGTCATTGTCAAGGTCCACCATTTCTTCTTTTCAGTCGGGTCAAGTTTCTAAGCTTTCTAAATCTTTGTTTTTCTGGCTAATGAAGAGAAAATAGGATTCTACCGAGTCTCCTATCTACCTACTCCATGACTTCTGTGAGGATCAAATGAGATGAGGCACGGGAAAACACTTCACAGACAATTGATTACAGTGTAAAGTGTTTTCACCTGGCTATAAAGCAAGTAGTGTTCCTGAGCTAAAGAAACTGCAAGGAGGCTAGTCGTTGCTAGAGAGAAGAAGCCGGGCGTTGCTATGTGACGTCATTACCTGGAGGGTCGGACACAGCATATTAGCCTTTTATATAGAGAGATTTTGTTTTGTTTTTTGAGGTTTTTTTTTTTTCTTTTTTTCTATTGTCTCTGGCATTGAATAAAGTCCTGAGAGCCTTCCTTCATCTGCTGAACTTTGTAAAAAGCAGGACTTTTATAAAGGGAAACACTGAAATTGGATTTCTTTTCTTAGTTGATTTCCCAGCCCTTTCTCTCTATCTCAACCCAGTTAGAGATGTGATAATTGCTAGTCTTCAACACTGTTCTAATCCAGGGTTTCTCTCTCAGGACCTATGGGTAAAGAAACTCATCATGAGCTAAAGGGGATGGTGACAAAGGCCAGGAAAAAAACAGCAGGTCAACATTTTTCAATTAATCAGAACTTCAAAGTTATTTACCATTCCCCATCATTACCAAATTACCTGAGGAGAGGAAATGGGCAAAGTAAGAACTCATAAGGAGGGGACTCTTCCCCCTCCCTACATGGGAGTCAGTTCTGTGGGACTCTTTCTCTCCCCACGTGGGAGTCTGTACTTGTTCTTCAATAAATCTCCACCTTTGCTATAAAAAAAAAACCAAACTAATAAGGAAGCAAAGTCAAGGTCTTTGCACTTGTTGGAATGATTTCCCCCCAAATAGCCATATGACTCTCCTCTCACTTGAGTTAGATCTCTGCTTAAATGCCTTCTCACTGGGTTTTCCTAACCACTCTGTGTGAAATCACAGCTCCCTCTCCTCCCTCTCAGTATTCCCTTCTTCCTCCTCTTTGTTCTCTTTTTTTCCCCCATTATACTTACCACTTCCCAACATACCATATCACCTACTGATTTATTTTGTTATCTTTCTTCTGCCAATGTCAGTCAATTTTGCCAAGAACTGGAAGGCAAACAAAAGATTTATTTGGAGGCCTTAGGAATTGCAAATCTAGAAGTCACAGATTTAAGTAGAAACCCAATGTGTTCTGAAGGGGAAAGAAAGAGGTAGAGTTTATAAAGACTGAAAAGGGGAGGTTTTCAAAAGGATTACATAAATTGCTTTGAAGGAGCTGTGACTGGGGCTGGCAAGCCAATTTACACATGCTATCCATGACTGTTTGCTTATGTCCATTTCTAGGGGAAAATTTTATTATTTAATAGAGTTTCGTGATGCAGAACCAGTTCCAGAAACCGT